AAGACAGAAGAAGACAGGGACGATCAAGAATGTGAGTGTCAGGTATATGTAACTAAAGAAAAGAGCTTTTCTACACCAATGCACAGATAACTTCATTATAAAGTAGACGGTAATGAGAATGGAGTCACAGAGGTTTGAAGCACATTGTTCAAGGTCTTAGTAAGAATTTCATATGATACAGAGCCAAATCTATCCTTATCATCATTGCTAACAAATATTGACTCCTTACTCTATACCCATGCCAGGCAATGTGCCAGGTTCCTTAAATGGATTATCTTATTTATATCAGCCACAGTCTTTACTCATTAAACTATCAGCAAGAGGTTAGATTCTTCCAATAAATTGTATCCTTTAAATAAACACAGACTTGAAAAAGTGTTTACTGGTTAGATTTCCAGTGATCCTTCCCTACCCTTTTATTCTCACAAGTAGAAATTAGGCTTAGAAATCTTTCTGATACCTTATCTTTTAATTTTGCAAAGATGAGGTCCAAATGATGACATCCCAGCTTTTCAAATTCAATATCAGTTCTCGGTGAAACGTCAAGGTTGACAGCTTGAGAAGCTGGTCTCCAGTAGGCAAGTATGCTAGCTTGCCTATGTTGGGTCCCTTAAAGTCACCTGCCTTGGGGAGTCACACCAATCATTACCTCTACTTTCCAGGCTAAACTTCAGATTAACTCTTCACTCTATGAGGAAGAGCATTCCCTCTTGGTGTGTAATAAAATCCAAGTCCCTGAGAAGGGGGTCTAGGGACAGGGGTGAAAAGGGGGTAGCAAGAGAAGGTAGAAGAGAGGGAGGACATGATAAGACATGACATAAGATGCATGGAAATGTCACAGTGAAACACATTAATTTGTACAATTAGTGCATGCTAATAAAAAATCCAAGTCCCTCTTCTCCCTGGTGAGGACCTTTGTGACTGGCCAGACAGCCACATCCTAAGTGACCATCATTATACACCCTATCCCTTCAAAGAAAGGAGAATGAAATAACTCAGTTCTGCATTGAAACATTCCACAAGCTTCAATATGTCACCCCAAACCAATGGCCCAAAATGGTGAAAATGCATTTTACATATGGTATTTGATTTGCACACAGTTTAACAGAAAAGTAACTTTATCTATTTTTTCTAATTAAAGGAAGTAATGTTATAATCAATAATTCCTCCTGCTCTGCTTTGCTAAATTTATGTGTGTCTATTGTTTTTAAATCACAAGTGAACATTGCTATAGAAATGTAAAATGGTACTATTTCATTTTAATCTATTTAATTTTCCATTCTTGAATTACATAATAAGGTTAAAACACTGAATAGAATTAATAGAATGAGTGTTTAATTAAGCAATAATGAGTTTCTAAATGGCTTTCTCAAAGAAACTGCCTTTATAGTTTATGCAAGAATCAGATAATGGTCTTAACAAAGACCATAATAATTATGTTGAATGTTTTTTACATTTAAAGATTTTTATTTTTTCTGAATTCTCTCAGGAGTAGATTGAACACATCCCAGTTCCTTGGTTAGACTCTACTTTGCTTTCAAGGTAAATTCTACATGCTTCCCCTCACTCACAAGGCCCTACACTACTTGACTCTGCCCACCTCTACAGTCCAAGATGAAGCAATTCTCCCTGATCTGTCTGTTCCCTCCTCAACCCCTGCATTCCACCCATACCCTCCTTCTTTCTGTTCTTCAAGTGCACAGGCCTCCTCCTGACACCCAGTCTTCACTCCCGCTGTTCCCAATGTCAGCAGTGCTCTTTCCCTCTCCCCCTTCACCTCACTAACTCCTCCTCTTCTTTCACCTCTCAGGGAATTCTTCTTGGATGATTCTCCTCAAACTGGATCAGGTACCTGTGCCCACCAATGCACACTGCCACAGACTCCCCAAGAACAGTGTGGTCTTTTTTTGAGCAATTAGCATAATTTTATAATTACACATCTATTTCATATCTGTCTTTCCTTCCAGCTTGTCACCTCCATGAGAAAATATGGAGACATATACTATGTCTTGTCTTCTTTGTTTACTAGGGTATCCATGGGTGGATGGATGGATGGGTGATGAATGGTTGTATAGAGGATGGATGGGTGGACAGATAGGTGATGGATGGATGGACAGATAGGTGATGAATGGATGAACAACAGGTAAATGTGGCTGTGGGCCCCTTACCACCTCTAAGGATGCATGAGGACTACAATATGCACTTCTGAGAACTCCGAGAACTTCACACCTTCCCATTCTGCTCACATTCATTTCCTCAGACACTGAAATGGTGTTGTGTGCCAGCCCTTTAGTAAGTGCTGCAGACATGAAGATCCCATTTTCCCAGTTGGACATTCTTCATTCATTTTGAAGTTATTTACTTCATTCATTCATTCATCAGGTCTTTGGGCCTGGTCATGTGTTGGGCATTGTGCTGTGTACTGGGAATTAGGGGTGATTCATCCACCAGGTACCATTGATTGGCCCAAAAATTGGAAAGAAAACATAAAGAACTTTCAGAGTAAAAGACTTTGAAATTTTGACTTTCAAAGTCAAATGTTAATTTCCTGACATCTTAAAAATATAACTTTTAAAGCCCATGAGAATCTATTATGGTAGGAGGTATTATGGTAGGAGGGCCTAGCATCCTCAGAAGTCATTGCGCAGCTCTGTTGGAGATATCGTGAAAACAATGTGCCTTCCAGGACATTGGGGCAAATGGTGACTCAGGTGTCAGATCTCAGCCTCTCAGTGTCTCTCCTGTGTGGCTTCTCCCTCCACATTCCCTTACCTCACCTCTGCTTCCATTTCCTATGTATAAGACCATTCATTCGTTCAGCAAATGTCTACTGAGTCCCTTCTGTGTACCATGTGAGGGAGTGGAAATAGAGCCATGAACAAGACAAACAGAAAGCCTCCAGCTTTCTCAAATCACAACTGTATGGTGTTTTCCTCTTGACAATGAGACACTCGTCTGCTCTGACTCAGTGTCTTCTCTCCAGACATAACAGCACTTCTACCTGACTGGGGGTTCCCAGAATTCTCTAGTCTTAGCACACACTGGGCCCACATAATTGTCTGCCTTAGGAAAAGACACGAAACAGCTCATGAGATGATGTCCACTGGGTTCAGTAAGGACAGAGTGCCAGTTGCCCAGCTCTGGACAGCAACAGAAATGGCCAATGGAAATCTCAAGTGGACCTGAGTATCAGAACTGGTTGACGGCAGAGATTACGAGAATCCAGGAGGCTTGGGTCTGACCTTTGATTCACCGTAGGACTTTGGACAAGATTCTTCCTTTCTTTCTTCATCTGCAAACTGAAGGAATTAGGCACATGCATCACAAGGCCCTTCCTACACACATGGCAGACAGAAGCAATGATCCCAGCTCTCCATCCTGCTCAGCCCAGATACACCACTGGCCCCTGGTCAGGCTGGTCCATTCATCCACGAGGGTAGATAGTCTTGTTGACATCTGCTTGTCATCCTTAGACTTGGTCTATCGTGCTTCTCACCCCACACTGCATGTCAGAGTTATCTGGACAGGTTAAGAAAACATCAGTCCAAGGCCTTACCCTTCACCAACTTAATTGGAATGGGGTCCTCGGATTTTTTTAAAGCCCCATGGGAGATTCTAATGTGCAGACAAGGCAGGAAAGCATGATTCTAGTTTTTCCAGCTCAGAAATTGTATGATTTTTTGAGAGGAAGAAAAGGTAGGAGATAAGACTGGTAGACCTTCCTCAGGAATCAGAGGAACGAGGCCAAAACAGTCACTGCTGGAGCCATTTCTACCTGACAGCATCCTCTCCCAGCTATTTTCCACCCGGGAGCATGGTCTAAGACTCTTCCAGCTCCCCTTTTTAGGGCAGACAAACAACTGATCCAAGTTTGCTGAGGTGTGATAGACAAATTAGTTCCTGCCCACCCCATCCCCCCAAGGCATCAAGATTGAAGCTCATGATTAATTATTTGAAAGTCAATTAATCAATGACTGCTTTTGAAACCTCATTTCTCAAATTACTTCTCTTTGAATACCAGGTCTTTCTGACACCATCTTGCTGTGTCTAGATTTACGGTACTACTAATTGAAATTCCAAGGTATTCCTTCTTCTTGTCAGCTTATTGGTATTGCCTGTTTATAAAATATTTGCAAACATATCACTATTCACCTCTGGCGTGTCAGAGGTAAGCATTCAAACAATACTTTACGCTTCCAGCTCAAAGGAAATGTACTAATGATTGCTCACGACATTCTCTATTGATGGGAAAGGTAATTTTTCATTTATTGATTTATTTTTCACCACACCTACTTGCAACAAGTATTTGAGATGTAATACAATAAAAAACAACAAGGCTTCAAACTGCTGATCTCTGTTTCCTTAAGCAAACGGTCTTTTAGTCTTATGAGTTATGGGCAAAGGGTGGGAGGGATGAAATTGGTTTTCTTCCTGGAGAAGAGGGCAGGGTCTGGCAGAGGCTCTGGAGATCAACATTACACTTCTAGCCCCAGGCCCTTTGCTTATGAATCCCTCGCTCTGAGTATGTGGTCAGCTGGTGTTCAGGCTAGGCACACAAAAACCTACAATGGCTCACACTCCATAAGTTCCTTTTTTATTCAACAGTAGTTCAGAGCGGGTGCTCCTGATCACCAGCTGCCCGATCCACGCAGGGACTCAGGCTCCCAAGTCTCTTCCCTTACACTCCACCTTCCCCTTGAGTCTTGTGGCTGAAAGTGTTCGGGTAGGCAGAAGAGTGCCAGAGGAGGCACAGCTGTCCTCATACCCCTCTGTCCCCAAGCTCAGCCCAGCATCATTCAGCTTGGGGGAGAGTTTAGTCTCATGGCTTCACCTGAGTCCAAGAAAACTGAGAGGAAGAGTGTACCACCTTTGGCCCTAATCCTCCAGTGTTACCGATTATTACCCAATGAGATGGTACATGCATGCAGGAAGAGCTCCATACATGGCCTTTGCTGTGTATTTTCCAAAACAGTCACAGTTACCATCTGTTTTGTTTGCAGTTTCAAGCCACGGTGGAGGAAGGAGCCGTGGGAGTTATTGTCAATTTGACAGTGGAAGATAAGGACGACCCCACCACAGGCGCGTGGAGGGCCGTTTACACCATCATCAACGGAAACCCCGGGCAGAGCTTTGAGATCCACACCAACCCGCAGACCAATGAGGGCATGCTCTCTGTGGTCAAGGTAAGGTGTTCCGATTGACTTCTCTCCACTCCTGTGAGCCCTGAGGGTCTGTCCATGAGCACTGCATAGAATCACTGAGTCGAGAAGGTTAGAGAAAACTTCTATTCTCTCCCTCCAGGAGTTCACAGACAAAAAGACTCATGCTTACAGAGAAAAAGACTCATGGAGCACAAAGCAACATGTCTACAGGTTCTGTAAAACTCACTCTTAGCTCTGATGTTAAGAAAGCCCAACTCAAGTTGCAAATGAGATCCTTGGTACATTTGCTAATGAATTACTAAAAGATATATAAAAATGGTTTTTTAAAGATCTGCAATCAAAATGTGGATGATTACGTTTCTTATCATTCTTTTTTTTTTTTAGCAGAGTCTTGGTTATTCTCTAAAAACAGACAGGGAGTAGTTCTTGGTGGGAAACCTGTCAGCCTGGCTGGCCAGCACACAGGCCCTCACTTGGGCTACAAGTAGAATGAGGTGGGAATGCCAAGAGCGAGGGAGCCACCCATGCTGGTGGCCTCAGGACCCAGAGGAAGACATTGTCACACAGCAACTCTCTCTGCAAAGTTCTGGGGTGGTTTCTGCTGAAGTGAACACCAGGTCCTGCATATTCTAGCACTTTCTTTCCTAGCAGATGAAACTGTTTGCCCCCAAAGCAGTGAGGACTCATATTTACAGTCATAGCGACAGAGGGCAGAGTGGGACCCTTGGTGCCATCTCCCCATGTGTCCTTGGCCCAACACCTGACTACATTCTCTTTGTTTCCTTACCTGTAGGAGAAAAATGGTAAGACATCACACCTTTGAGGGCACTTGTCGAAGTCTGTCCAGGTTGTGACAACGTACCATGGACTGATGACTTGTGTGTGTGCAGGGTGATGAGGGAAAGTAACATTTCTTTTTTCCCCGTTAATTTTTTATTAGGATATGTTTGCTGTACTGGGGGATTCAGTGTGACAATTCCAAATAGGCTTACATTGTACATTGGTTGGATCACCCCACAGTCTCTCCCCCTTGACCTCCTCCCCGCCCCACTTGCAGCAATTGCAAGAGGTTTCTTTGTTCTATTTCATGTAGGTATATGAAGTCCATCCACCATATTCCCTCACCTTAATCTCCTTCTTCTACCCTCCCCCTCCCTCCAGTACCCCCACACCCATACCTTATACTTATTTTACAGTCATGTCTTTCATTATTAATTTCTAAGCTGATGTTCAAAGGGGTGTCCCAATGTGGGTATACTTTACTTTGGTCCATTCAACCCCCTCCGTTACTCTCTCTCACCCCTTTACCTCCACCCCCCATTTTTTAACAGCTTTCAGTACCCATCCTTGTAACCTCTACCTGCACAGATGTGATGTTTACGACATTGCTGATGCTCTGTCCTTCTCTTTTCCTTTCCCTCCTTCCCCGAGTTCCATGGAGCTGCTCCACTGTTACAGACATGTTCTGCATCTGAGTTTGTGCAAGATCATGCTTGGTTCTGTGTACGTGTTTATCTTTTGCATCTGTCTTCCACGTATGAGAGAAAACACGCGGCCTTTGTCTTTCTGAGCCTGGCTTACTTCACTTAACACAATGTCCTCCAGTTGCATCCATTCACCTTCAAACCACATGTCATTGTTCCTTACGGCTGAGTGAAACTCCACTATGTATATGTACATTTTCTTGATCCATTCATCAGCGGTAGGGCACCTGGGTTGTTTCCATAGCTTGGCTGTTGTGAATGGTGCTGTGATGAGCACCAGTGCACAGGTGTCTCCGTTGTATCCTGACTTGCATTCCTTTGGGTAGATCATATGGCAGTTCTAGCTTTAGCTTTTGGAGGAATCACCGTACTGCTTTCCATAGTGGTTGCACTAATTTGCATTTGCAATGGCCGTTTATTACTCACAGGTCTGGAAGCTGGAAGTCCAAGATCAGTGTTCCCATAGACTTCATTGTCAAGTGAGATCCACTTCCTCACAGGAGGAGCCTTCTTCCAGCACATGTACCCCATGTGCTGGAAGGGAGGAGGCTGCTCTCTGGAATTTCTTTTATAAGGGCACTAATGCCACCGAGGAGGGCACTGCCTAATGCCCTGACCACCTCCAATCGCCCCACCTCTAATGATTCATTGGAGGGGGTTATAACTTCAGTATATGAATTGGGGAGGGGGGACACACACATTCAGTCTAGAGCAGTTATGAGGATTTTGTGAGCTAATATGTACAGTGTCTAGAACAGTGACTGCCACTTAAGGTTGTATTGGTTTCTTATTGCTGCTACAACAAATCACCACAAATAGTGTGGAATTGGGAGGAAATTCTTATCTTACAATTCTAGACATAAGTCTAGCAAGGGTCTTCTAGGCTAAAATAAAGGCGTGGGCAGGGCTGATTCTTTCTGGAGGCTTCAGGAGAGAACCCATTTCCTCATACTCCCCAGCTTCTCAAGGCAGCCCACAGTCCTTGGCTCCTGGCCCCTTTGTCTTCAAAGCCAGCACAGAGCATTTTCGGTTGTCTCTCTAACGCTGCTCCCAAATCCATCAGCAATTCTCCTACTTCTTCCTCCCTTGGCCTTCCCACCTCCCTTTTTTGTGTATCCTTGTGATTCTCTTGAGTCTACTAGATAATTCAGGATAATCTCGCCTCATGAGGTCTTTAATGACCACATCAGTAAAGTCCTCATTGCCATGTAAGGTCACACATGCACAGACTCCAGAGATCCAAACATGGACATATTAGGGCCATTATTCTGTCCTCCAGAGTCCTAGGAACAGCTGCAGTGACAGAGTCCCACAGGGCTCCGGGGGAGAAGGGACCCTGCCATTGAGAACAGCAGATCTTAGCCACTTCTGGCTCATGCTAGAGGACATGGGTTCAGGTTCCTCACAAGCCATACCCTCTTCTGCCTTTGGATCTCCCCATTCCATCCTCTCCAATAAGGCAAGTGATGGCAGAGTCATCAGGAGACCTGGCTGTGCTTTTGAAGCCATGATAGTTGTAAAATAACACAGACATAGGCTGTCCTCTGTCACTAGCCTTGGGTCTACAGAAGCTGCTAGGCAACTGCTTTGCAGCCTAAGGAGGAAACGGGTAACTACATCTCTTTATCTTTCATCCTGGGGAAGCCCACTTTACCCCAACATGTGTTGGTCCTGCTGGAGGAAAATAAAATCCAAGTAAAACCAGACTTGCAGGAAGGAGCAGCTCTCTTCCAGCATGCCCACACTGGTCAGGGACTGTGGCTCACAGATGAAAATCACCTAGATGGTAGTCAACCCAGGCTGTAACTGATGGGTGGGGATGTGAGGAGGGTGTGCCTCATGAGTCTGTGACCCACAGGCACAGCTCTTGTGGAGGGACATGGTCTCAGGAGGAGTCTGTCTGTCAGGATGTCCACACAGTCTGCAAACTCCAGGGAGGAGGTGCCCATGGAGGCTGGGACCTGGCTTCAGTTCACTGTGTGTGGCCTTCCTTGGCTGCAGAAGGGCTTGAGTGCTCCCTGCCTCTTAGCACACATGAGGCAAAGCCCCAGGACAGCCATCTGGAGAGAGGCAGACCTGGCCATGCCCTCTGGTGCATACCATGATGCCAGAGATCCAGCACATCTGCAGGAATCCTTCCTGCTGCAAGTCACGGGTACCAGGCAGACTATACTGGCTGGAATAACAGAGAGAATTTAGGGACTTTCTTACCTATGTGAAGGTAGGCCAGTCCAGCATTGCCTGGCAGATCATGATGTCAGGGAGCCAGCAGGGGGCACCTCAGCTGCTTTGGTTTTCCTCCTGGACATAAAGAACCCAGGTATCATGTTCTCCCACTGCTGTGTCCAAGGCAGGAAAGTAAGAGAGAGAATGTCTCCTCTTCTTTCCACGGGTGAAGATATCTTTTCAAAGGGTACCCAATTGGTTTTCCATAATGATTCTTTGGCCAACAAATTATATACATTCACCCTGAGCTGTGAGGAAGGCTGAGCAAGCCCTCACCTGGCCTTTTAGCCTCTACTCACAGAGGTAGGTAAGGGGGAAGAGGTTGGGAATAGCCAACCACAAGTAGGTTTGCCCTGGCCAGTCAGCAGTGCTACATACTGGAGAACTCACTATAGTCTTGGGACTGCTGCTTTTCAGTGGGGTCCTATTTCCAACATGGCCAAATCCTAATGGTTCTGCCAGATGAGAACCTGGCTCATCTTTAAGTCTTCCAGTCCAAACATCCTTAGATGCTTTGTGAACCTGTCAAAGAAACAATCCTTCTAGCTGAATATAATCACCCTGCATTTTAACCCTATTCTCTCCCCTGCCCTCAAAGAAGAAAGCATCCAAAAGCAGCACCCCCTTTTTTTTTTTTGGCAGTACTGGGGCTTGAACCCAGGGCCTTGAGCTTATTAAGCAAGCCCTCTACTACTTGAGCCATGCCCCTGTCCTCAAGAAGCATCCTTGATCCCCAAACCCATCATGGCTTAAAAATCACTTCTGAGTCTTCTCCTTCCAGACAACAGACCCCAGGTCCTCTGTCCTGCCCTTGTGGGGAAGCTCATCCAGCCTGTATGTCCTCCAGGATAGTGGTCCACACCCAGCCTTGATGCTTGATAAAGTAGTACTTGAGTTTCATCCCTGTGGCTTCCATCAGAAGCATTTCCAACTTCTCCACCTATCCAACACAGAGGCCCAGCACCAGACAAAGCCCTTCCTGAGGCTGTGTGTCTGAGGTGACAGATGGAAAGCTTCTTAATTCATAGCACGACCCCAGGAAGAGACTGGGAATGGAGGCCTGCGTTGCCAGCTCCAGGTGGAGTACTAGGACATAGTACCCCTGGAATTGTCAGGTCCTACCTTGTGTGATGGGAATGCACACAAAGGCTCTGCTCCCTGGACAGGCCAGCCTCCTGTGGCCTCAAGTGGCCTCACATGGCCAGCTCACCTCTCTCTCTCTCCACTCCCTCTCTCTGAGGCATTTTGCACATCTTACTTTCTCAGAAGCCAGAATTCCATTCAGGGAGTCAGTCTGGAAACATTCCAGAAGAACCAGAATTCAGCACTGGCTCTCTCTGTCATTTCAGTCCCAAATCCCTCTTGGTATTGATGTTCAATCTGGGATGACCTCCATGGGAAGTGCTGGACAGGCATCATGTCCCTTGATCTTTACCTCTGTGCTGATATTTTGTCAACAGAGTTGACACTGGGAATGGCAGTGCCTTGCTGGTGTCCCTGGAGTTACCAAGCCTTGGGCCAGGTCTTGACCCCACCCTTCTGTCTTTGGCACTGAAGATTATACTCCCAACCATGAAGGCTCAGGGAAACCCAATATGATTGAGCAGCTCGAGGTAGGGCAGAGGAGCGGCTGTAGTCAACCTCTACACACCAACGCCACAGGGAAATTTAACTGCAGTCATCCCTGAGCCTCTCATCAGACCCCCTGCGTCAAGTCTCAGCTCTGTGCCACTATGTGACTTGGGCCAAGTTACTCAGTGTTTTTGGAACTGGTTCCTCATCTATTCAGCAGGAATAAAACACCTACCATTGTAGGGGTCAGATAAGATGACGCACACAGGGGCTCCCAGCACACACAGAGGGATAGATAGATAGTGTCCTAAGAAATGGTCAAGAGTCATGATGAAGATCAATTACCAGTCCTAAGGCCTGTGTGCCCCACAGCTATGAGCTGAATTGTGACACACCAGTATCGTGGGTATGACCTTATCGGGAATCGGGGCCATTGCAGATATAACTAGTTAAAAGGAGGTCACACTGGAGTAGGGTGGGCCTAATCCAGTGCCTAGTATCCTCAGAAAAAGGTGGCCATGTGAAGACAGAGACACAAACACGGAGTGGGAAGGGAGGTAGAAAAGTGGTGATGCAGCTGCCAGCCAAGGGCTGACAGAGAGGCAAGGGAGAGACCCAAGGGGCCCAGAGCAAGGCCACCCTGCTGACCTCTGAATTTCAGACTCTGCCTCCAGGCTGTGAGTGAACACACTGCGACTGCTTTAAGCCACTCGGGTTAAACAATAATGCTTCTGCCCCATTTCCCACCCCACCCCACCCCACCCCCTCCAGGCCCTTAGCGTAGCTACCAACACATCCCAGCTGCCCCTTCTTTGCAGAATTGCCTGCACCAGAAAGGGCTTACCTTGGCAAGAAGGTTAGACCCAGCTCCGGAAAGAGCTCATAGCAGGGCAGACTTCAACGTGCTACAAAAGGCCAGCCCTTCACCTTGAGGTGAGTCTAATTCCACAGGGCCAGTCAAGCTGCAGAGCTCCCCAGAGCGTCCAGCCAAACCAGACTCCAGCAGGGACCATAGCCTTCCCTGGCTCCATCCCCAGTTCTTGGCTCCTCTTCACTGAAAATGCAAACAGCAAATCAGGTGTCAAATCCCTGCCTCGGCTCCACTTCTGGGGGACCCAACCTCAGCTGTCTCATGCATGCATGTGCACACGAACACACACACACACGCATGCAAATTTACGTGTAAATGCACACATGCACTCTTAGATGTAGATGTGTGCACCTAATGTCTACATGCACACACACTCATCTAACATATCACGCCCACCTTTCTGCGGTCTGTATTTAATCCCTTCTCTTGTTTCTGCACCTGGGCCTGCTGCCTTCCAGCCTGCTCAGCCACCTGCTGACCACACTGGCCTCAACTGTTGGAGCAAATTCCACTGTGTATTAAGAGACCTGCTGAGCTCAGAAACTCAAGAAACCCCCACCATGGAGGCATTTTCACTGTGGTAGAAAATTCAGTGGAATTAGATTTGGGATTTTACAATCCCAGTATGTATCGTATTTTAACTTTATTTCCAGAAAGCTGTGTCCCTGAAAGTCAGCATAAAAGAAAGCCTTGGTGCCTCCCAGCTGTGCCCAGTGGGTCTGCCCGGTGTTGGGGAGGCCTGGAGAAAGTTCTCAGGAGACTGGGGTGCACTGTGTCCCAGTCCTCTTCAGAGAACTGACCCTCAGTGCTATCACACCCAGAAAGCCAGAAGTTTCTGTCCCTTCCATTTGCCTAATCTGGATACCATTCTATGAATGGCAGCTGCTGGCCCTTGTTTGAAATTTTCTTTACCAAGGTGGTAAATTTGGGGCTTCACTTAGGATGATGTTATTAGGAATCTGTTATTAGGATCCAAGAAAAAAAGGCGGCACTGGTAAACCAGTCTTGTGTTACAGGAATAGAACCAAAACAGAACTGGGCAGTTACCCGGCTTCGTGGGTTTCGCATCTGTTAACTCTTGACAGTCCTTGTGCTGACACTGCTGGGGCTTGTTGGGGGTGAAAAGCAGAAGCAGTCACGGGGAAGCATGTCTTCTGTGCGTGCTCACGTTGGTGTACATGTGCTCGTGCACCTTTGAGTGTGTGGGAGGGATGCTTTGCTTAGCACTGTAGACACGTTAGTCAAATTACAATGAAAGATCTGACTCAGTCTACCGGGTTCCATTCCTTTTTATTATCGTATTATCGTTGTACTGGGGTACATTGTCACATTTACAAAAGCTTTTACAACATATCATAGTTGGGCTCACCCCCTCCATCGTTCTCCTGTATCCCCTCCCCCCATTCCTGGAATAGTTTCAACAGGTCTCATTTTTTTCCATTTTCATACACGACTACAAAATATTTCCACCACATTCACCCTCCTTCTCCCTTTCCTTATATCCTCCTCCTCCCACTGATACCAACCCCCCAGGCAGGACCTGATTTACATTCCTGTTCTCCGTTTTTGAAAAACGACATTTTTGTTTGTTTAAGATAGCTATACAGGGAGTTTCATTGGGACATTTCCCATGTATACATATAATATAACCCAAATTGTTCACCCCCTCTATTTTTCTCCTTTCTACCTTAGTCCCCTTCTTATGGTGATTCCAACACGTTTAAAAATTCTATATCCAGGGGAGAAATGACCCAAACATTGTATACACATATGAATAAAAGAAACTTTTAAAAAATTCTATATCCATTCTTATATAACAAGTACATCAACCATATTCACCTTTTTTTTTTTTTTTTTTGCAGTACTGGGGTTTGAACTCAGGGCCTCACACTTGCTAGGCAGGTACTCTACTACTTGAGTCACACCACCAACCTCATATTCACCTTCTTAACTTCCTTCTTTTTACCCTTTCTCTCCCGTTAGTGACCTCCCCTTAGTGTGACCTGTTTTCATTCTATTGCTGTATTTGTATTGGGTCTATCTTCCAGATGAGAGAAAATATGGGTTCTATTTCTGACTCATGCATCTCCCTAGAGCTTTCCCCATCTTCAACCACCCTGGTCTGCACTCCCCTCTTCCCACAACCATTTTGATCTGCACACCTGTTGTTGGCTTACCCTGGTGAATTGCTAGTCAAAGCCCTTGGCTCTCATTCTTCTCATCCTCCTAACAAGAATACCCACTGTGGCCTGGCTCTGAGGAGTTCGAGTTCACTGTTTTTCCCAGTTTGCTCCTGTCTCACCTGAATGTCTTCCCTTGTGTTGTGGGCAACAGAGCCCTATTGTGGGAAATGACACTCGTTGCGTCACGAGGCTCCCATGGAAAGAGACTGACAGTTCGATGCTCTTTGTAATGGGGTTTTCTTGACACAGTAGCAGAGGGAGGTGGTGCTATCAGTCTCCTTTGCAAAATCATCTCGAGTGCTCCTCATCGGAGCACTCGCTGGGGCTGGGACTGTCCTGGGTATGGCTGTGTGTCTCACATCTCTGTCCACTGCGCAGTACATGGCTAGAGAGCCTTCATGTCATGGTGAAAATACCCCCATACTTTTTCCAGTGCCCCTGGGTGGCAAAGAACCCAGCACCCCGTACTCTTTCAGACTCTCAAATCTTTTCCCTACATCCTTCCTACTATGAAGGAAACACTACATTACTATGAGTGAGGGAGCAACCTAAGCCTCAGACCTGCTGCAAAAGCATGAGAAGCACTAGAAATGAGACCCTGGTTTGATCTGCTGTGATAACAGAGGCAGGGTTGTCTCATGGTGACACTGATGAAGCTTGGGTTTCAGGCTTTGGGCTCTCATTTACCCCACCCCCACAGGTTCCTGGCAGCAAGCCTTTCAAAATCAACCCTGCCAGTGAGCTGCCTACAGGAGTCTCAGAAGGGAGGGGCCACTTGTTGAGGCTCGCGTAACATGTTGTCACTTGTTTGTCACTCTAAAAAAGCGACAGTGCCCAGACCTAAGTTCCATATTCTTTTTCTGAAAGAGGATGTCCCAAGGGCATAAGCTTGGACCACAAACCTGGCTCCATCCCAGTGTGCCCACTGCTGCTCATACAGTGCAGAGGGACTTTGTGCACAATGACAGCCTTTTGTGGCATATGGACATCTGACACCCCTGTCTGCTTCCCAGCCCCTGGACTATGAGATTTCTGCCTTCCACACTCTGCTGATCAAAGTGGAGAACGAGGACCCGCTGGTACCTGACGTCTCCTATGGCCCCAGCTCCACAGCCACCGTCCACATCACAGTCCTAGATGTCAACGAGGGCCCGGTCTTCTACCCAGACCCCATGACAGTGACCAAGCAGGAGAACATCGCTGTGAGCAGCGTGCTGCTGACCGTGAACGCTACGGACCCCGACTCCCTGCAACATCAGACCATCAGGTGGGTGAGCGGCATGGGAGGCAGGCACCGCTTCTCCTTCCTCGTCGTAGAAGCTGGCTGCCAGGGACAAAATACCATTGAACTTGTTAAGGGTCTGAATGGGTGGGAGGAAAGCACCATGAGGAGGAGTTTATGGATGATGGAGCCAGGGATCTGGGCTCTCAGGGTGACCGCAGTGTCCCCACACCTGAGTCCAGCCCAGGAGGGGAGTGGCTTCTGGGCTGTGTTCCCACATGACAGTCCTGTTCTGCCAGCACCAAGCCCTGTTCTGAGAGGGAAAGAAAGGAGCCACTTTTTCTGGCCTCCTGCATCCCAGAATGTGACCTATATTGTCATTTCCTTGGCTTGGTGACAAAGGCGTTGGCTGACTCCATTTACAGATAAGGGTATTGCAGATTCAAACAGGTGCAGTCACTTGGTCAAGACTTCCCACCATGGTGGCAGAGGACAATCTGCCAAGTCCAGGCTCCTCTGTCTGATGAATGCCAGATGATTTTAGACTGCCAGAGAAAGGAGCCAAAACATTTGCTCCTTAGCAATGGACCACCAGATCGGGGTTTTGCCCAATGAATGGCAGGCAAAAAAAAAAAAAAGTCTCCAAAAACGTCTGTCTACATTTCTTAAGCTTTGCCCAGTACTTATGCAGAAGGTATTTTCATAATGAGACTTAATTCAGCAGTTGTCACCTATGGTGTGTCAAATGCCAGGGATTACAAGATGCCCTTGTCCATGTGTTGTGTCTGAGCTAAAATCAGTGTGCAGGTCCAAATGCACAGCTTGTCTCTGCAAAAGAAAATTATTCATCTTTATTTATTTATTTATTCTTTTTTTTTTTTTTGGTGGTACTGGGGATTGAGCTCAAGGCCTTGCAAAGCAGGTGTTCTACCACTTGAGCCACTCTACCAGCCCTCAAATCATTCATCTTTCTCTTCCAAAATCTGCTCTTCTCCTCATATAAGGTACACATACATACTCAAGAATTAGACTCTTGCATCTTGCTTTTCCGATTGGAAATATCGGACTGTGTGACATGATCCCTGGTCAGCCACTTCACCATAGAGTGAGCTGACAGGGAGGAAGCAGAAGCTATTTTCCCATCCCCAAAGTGGACTTAATTTTACAAAAAAACTTTCTGAAATGTCAGATGAACTAGGTAACAGTGCAGAATGACACCAAATCCTGTAATAATGTGACTCCAAAACCACCATTCGTCTTTGCCTTCTCTTTTTTCCTTTTCCCCCTGCTCCATATCTGGCCAAAGAAACAAGCAATTGAAACACTAAGAGAAAGCCTCCCTTAAGTACTTAGAGAGGAAGCCTGTAGCATAAGAGACTACCAGACCGTTGTACACATTTACAATGTCTTTAGGAGAGCTTAACTGTCATTTTGTATCTTTTACACTAGGAGGTGAGAGCAGGCAGTTCCTGGGGGGATAAAATGAGTTGGATGGGGTCGAGACCACAAAACCTAAGGCTATGCCATTGCTGTCACAACTTGGGATGCCACCAGGCATCAGAGAGTTAATGTAATGGGGAGAGGCAGATAGGGGTGTCCAGTACAGAACTACAGGCCCCACTGAGGAGGGCAGACAGTAGAGAGGAGCTCAGTCTGAATCCCCGGATTAAAACCAGCTTTGGCTGACTTAGGCAAAGGGAGAGTTTGCCAGGTGACAAGCTCCAGCACACAGGAGCAGCTGGAGAACCAGCTCACCATAGCAAAGGAACCAGGGCACCCCTGAAGCTCCAGGTAACAGGCTGACCATCCAGCCTCCAGGATCTCACAGGGGACAGAAGCTCACTCCAGCCCCTTCCCTCCCAGAGTAATGGACGCAGTTCCCCTCCCTACCACCCCCTGCGCGCACACACACACACACACACACACACACACAGTGCTGGCTCTGAGCTCAAGAAAGGCAGAGGTCACAGCACTGACCCAGAGCTGTTGTCATTAATGATTTGCAGCTTCTGCTCCTGCACACTGAGGAGTGCGGTCCCGGGGAACTGTGTGTGCAGGGCTGCGAGGAGCCAGGCTGAGAGACAGTTTTCTAATAATTGTCACTTGGCTCCCCAGAACTCTCAGGGAGTTGTGGTGACCTTGTGAGTGGTGGTGTTATTGCTGTAAAGTTCTTGAGGGGCCAGGCAAGGGGACAGGGAGGAACTTCACTCTGGGAATCCTGGTTTTTATCTCCAGGAGAACTTTGTTCTTAGCTGACTAAGACACTGAAAGAAAGATGCTGGCCAGACATATGCCCTTAACAGTCTCACTTACCAGCCATGGCACTGCAGTAGGCCCTGTGGTGAGCATGGGTGACCCTGTCTCAGCGTGACTGGGTACATCTCTGTGTGCTTCTCCTTAGCCCCATTTCTCCCCTGCCTCCCCCTCATCCCCATCTCCCTCTGTCCTTCTCCCTCCCCGTCTCTGTCTCACCTCCAACCCCCTCTTTGACTCTCTCTCTCTCTCTCTCTCTTTCTCTCTCTCTCTCTGTCTCTGGTTCTTTCTTCCTCTTTCTTCTTCCCTCCTCTTTTTTCTTCTCTTCTACCCCTTTCCCTTTGCCTCCATTTCCCTCCCTCCTCTACAAGGCAGGAGTCAGGCAGCTCCTGATGACATTTTTGTATCTCTGACATCTCCTCCTCCTCCCCCCTCTCTTTTGCTCTGTCTCCCTACTCCAGCTCTATCACAAGATTCTCTGGGGCTCGTCTCCATCTCCCCCCCACACTGAGAAGCACATGGGCTGGGGGAGGGTCAGAGGCTTGATGGGCATCCTGAGAGTAGCCTGTTGTCCCTTCTCTCACCGTGGACGCTGGAGCCGGGAGGTGCCTTGATCTCTGTGAAGCCAGCAGCCCCTGACAGGTGGCATCTGTGCAGCGGACTGGATGCTCTCTGAAAGGCCAGGGTTATTAAGACCCAGTTAAAAGCCCATCACACACACTCATCACCAAATCAAAATGGACAGCAGTAGCCAAATGACAGGTGGATTTCTTGCTTTAGTAACTTGTGTCTTCTTATCCTTACCACAAGGTTAAGACAGTTCATGGTGGAAATTTTGGAAAAGAGTCAAAAATAAAGAAGAAAATAAAATAACCATAATCACCTCTCCCACTGAGGAAACCCCCTTAACCACGTGTGAAGGCTGTCCTTTTTAAAAAACAATGACCAAAACTGGCCGACATAGCCATCCTGTCCTGGAGCCTGCCATTTTTACTTGCCAGTATGTGCTGCTCAGGTGCCCATGTCAAGAAACAGCCATTATTTTTTGTCCCTCAGTGATAGGCTGCTGCTCTGTCACACGGATCTGCTCACGCGTTTGTGCTCCCCTTTGTGGAATATGACATCATTTCTGATTGTTTGTTTGCATTTTTTAAAGACTATGAACATGCTTGTAGTTACCTCGTTTAATGCACTGTTTAATTTTCTGAAGAAAGTCCCTGGAAAGACTTCACCAGAGCAAAAGTATTGCTATCGTTAACGCCTTCTTGAGAAAAACAGAATTCTTGGGCTGGCGGAGTGGCTGAAGCAGTAGAGCGCCTGCCTAACAAGCCTGAGGCCCTGAGTTCAAACCCCAGTACCACCAAAAAAAAAAAAGCAGAATTATTTATGTTTTACATCTAGACAGTCAAATTCAAATTTATATTTTCCTTTGTAACTTCTATGGTGTCCCCTGATCCAGGATCATGTAAATACTGACATGTCCTAAAACAGAACTGGCCGTCACCCGTGATTTCTCAACACACAGTGACGTCAGCCTTGCTTCACTTTCAGGGCAGATCTACCCTCGAGGGGCACAGACAGGACTCTGGTGGCCCCCAAGGACACTTCTGGACCTCTCAGGAGGAGCAGACCCATTCTGGTGCACTTGTTGGTTAGTTACTGGTAGAAAGGTCCGCTCCATGGTCATTGTGCTAGAATGAGAGGAATTGAATTTGCTCAGTTTCCACCATGGCGCCACTACCCACGGAACCAAGCCTTCTTCTCCCAGGCCCCCTGATTTGGCTACATTCAGACATCCTGGGAGGATTTACCCTGTTCTCAATAACCAAGTTCTTAGGAAGCACCCAAGTAGCAATTCCTACTCCACACATTATTTAGACAGAACTCATCTTGTCCAGGGTGTGTGGACAATTTCACAGCAGAGACTCCTGCCTGCACGTTGAATATGTAAGATACATGTAGAGGGAAAAACACCGCCTCTGCCCATGCAAAATTACATATTCTGATCGGCGTTCTTTAGAAGGGGTCATTCATCCAGGGGCCCTGCAAGTGTGTGTCAAACGCTGTATCTGCGGCAAATAAGGTTGGCTGAATATAACAGGAAAAGTCAAAATGACAGTGGCTCAGATAAGAGAGAAGGGTTTTTTTTTTTCTCACACATTAAATAAGTCTAGACAAGTATGGCAGGCAAGGGCTAGTATAGCCCCGATCAAGAGCCCAGGATATGTCTTGCTTGCCATTTCTCACCCTCTTCCTCATGGTTTGTTGTGATTGCTAGTGCTCCAGCCTTCATATCTGCATTCCAGATAGCAGTGTGGGAAAGGAAGGAAGAAGAAGAAGGGGTGCTTTCTGTCTTTTAAGGAGACTTCCTGGAAGTCAACCACATTTCCTTGTAAGTGTCACTGGCCAAAATTGGTCATATGAACACACGTGCCTACAAGGGTAGTGAGAAATGTGATCACTTGGGTAGGTAACCATGTACTTGCTTTTAAACCTGAGGCTCTTTACTAAGGAAGAGTGGCTATTGGGAGGTGGCGAGCAGTTTCTGCCATGAGAACTGAACCTTTCAACTTAATAATAAAAAAAACTACAGGGCAAAAATTTTAATGAAAACATCCAATGTGTTAGTCAGCTTTGCATTACTGTAACAGAATACCTGAGCTAATCAACTTTTTAAAAGGGAAAGGCTTTCTTTAGCTCACAGATTCAGAGGTTCTGGTCCCTGATCGGTTGGCCCTGTTGCTTTGGGCCTGAGGTAAGGCAGCACATGGCAGTGGGGGAGTGCTCACCTC